ACATCGGAATACGAATCCTCATTACAAGTTGCTGATAATGGGATGCGTGGAGGTTGCCGCCTTCGGATCCCAATAAAGGCTTGAGATCTCAATTTCAAAATAGAAAGGACTTAGAACAAACTTTAACACCATAGTAATAATGATAGTATTGCTTCGTAGCTGATTGTATAGCTCAGGTTTTAGAAAATGTTGCAGTGAATAATGACGATCTTTGCTGCAGCGAAAGTTATTGATGCGATTGCAGACTTAGCATTTACATTGTTACATAAGGAAATTTAACAGACTTATTACGAAATAGGTTACAATAGAATCTGCAACACACGTGCCGGTTTAAATTATATTTGAACTATCATGTGCAGAAACGACTACAACAATAGATGACCCGATTAGATTCATTTTATAAAAGTAATTGTTTGATCTAGAATGATTAAACAATAAGGATGTTAATGCTATGAATTAAGATACATTTGCTTTAAGTCATAACAGTTTAGGTACTGCGTGATGTTAGAATATATTAAACTTAACATTTATGTGAACTATTTCATACCATTCTATTCGATTTTCAGTCAATTATATTTTCATTGGCTTTTTTTACTGCAACAACTAAACTCCAGCCGAAAGTGACAACCAGTTAGAGTGACAATCCGTTGTTTATCTATCTGTGTCAATAGACCAAGCCTCTATGGTATTTTCACTTTTCGTATACAACACGAAAGAATCCGTAGCGTGTTTGGCAATCCATAACTGTTTTATGAACGTTTTATAATTAAAAACACTTTCGATACGCCGGCGTATATAATGGTATAAATATTAATTAAATTATTCCATAAAGATAGCTATCCGGTGTACGCTGGATGTTTTTAATAACAGTTTTATAAAGAACTTTTTATTTCTTTATAATATCATATATGATACCGAAGAAAAAGCAATTAGATTAAACTGCACTTTGATAATCTTGGTTTTATTAATCTCATTTTAGACGTTCTTAATAAAAGCAACTGTGTTGTTAGCACCGATATGAAGTTGTTTTCACACGAGAATATCTAAGTTATATCTACGAGCTTTACTGCTTTACGAAACATGATTTTTAATTGGATGATTCCTTTTATACTTTTAATTATGAAAATATATTTTACTCGGATGAAACTGTTACGAAATGAGAATGTATATATTATTAAATGTTTCTATAAGTATATATTATAACTGGTCTATATTTGAAGAACTCATGCGCAGTTCCGCTAGTCGCAGATGCGAAGTTATTAAAAGGGGAGCAGAGCATATGGACAACTTATACTGTCGCTACTGTTGTAGTTTTGTTATACAATAGCTATTTATAATAATATTTAGATATCTTGATACTTGCACTAGTTGTTATGACAAGCCTTTTAGCTTATGTTCAATTTTATGATCGTAAACGTTGAGATTTAATTATGCTATTAACCAAATACATATATAGGAAATTTTATGTCTAATTATCAACCGAGGATGAACTCTAATCTACATTGTTGTGTGATTCTGACCTAGGCATTTAATAGTGTAATAATTCCAGTAAGAGCATGCCCTATAATCAAAAGAGGCGTATCTAGTTTCACAATGAAGTTATCAGATGGACAATTACCATCTAATGGACTAATGATTGACATATGAAAGCGTCAATTGTTATTTAATGTGAGGGTTTTTTGTTACTTAAAAATGTTTAAGAGTTCTCTTCAGTCGAACAATAGTGAAATAAATAATTATATTGTTTGTCTTTTCACTTGTCCTCCAAATTGTTCTTAATATAAACCGATTCTATTTTTACTCGGCATATTATTACAAAAATAAAATTATTCGATGTTTTAAAATGTCATCTGGTCTTTTTGGAGGATTTTTTTTAGAACCATTCACTTGCAACAATCAAAAACACTTCAAGGTTAGGGATCAAAATAATATTAATTATGGAATGGGTTTATGTTTTTTTATATGTTATGAAACGTTTTCATGACAATATGGCGGACCGCCTTGGAAAGTTACATAAAAAAAGTTGGTCCAAAAAGAAAAATGTCTTGTTTTTCTTATAAATATTTTTAAAATTTTTAATAAGACCTTTCCTCTTTTGAAAAAACAAAATTTTTGTTTATTTTATTTATATACTGTGACAATTTAATCAGGTACAAAACCTTGTATAGAATAAGTTAACTTCCTCAAATCATTGTTATAATGTAATGATACTGCTCATTAAATCTTTATGAATTCGTTACGCTATATTGATACCATTTTTTTAAATAAAAAAACATTATTGTAATTTTAAAGCATTTAAGAATTGCAAAATATATTTATATACTTATACATAATGTGTTTTGTAATATAGGGTATAAATATGTACAGAGGCAGTCGCATGTAATTGTGACCTTTCAAGAAGGTAACAATTATTAATACATTTGAAATGTTTACAATCCCTGTCACATTCTCAAACATTATTCATAGAAATGTTTAATAAGCCTTGAAAACACATTTCATTGTATTGTAACTGATTTAAAATAAAATTCTTTTTGAAATCAGAATTGCGCAAACTGCAACTTAGTTTGTTGGGATAGCAAGTAGATGGTTGTAAAATCATTGCTTCTGCTATCACCGATAATGATAGACCATAGGTTTTATAATGACCATTGGCTGTGGAAACTAGGATACGTCTCTAATTAGCTATGTTGATCCCAGTATGAGGGGCTTGTGGCAATAAATGTATGGAAACGGTGAGATTAAATAGCGTTTCTCGGAGTATCATCATGGACACCTACGTCAGTTAAGTCGGCGTAGAAAATTTGTAATACTAGAAATTAAAAAGGTACACAAATACGCTGTAATAGATTTAAACGTATTTTATAGTATTACAGATCCAAAGAGATTATATACTGTATATTACTTTAATACATTTTAAATATGATTGCGGAAATAAAACGTTCTCTAGTTCTCTATTTTTCATATTGTATAATAGTAACCACGGCTAGTAAATCCTATCTTAAAATCTTTCATGCAATCGTGATACGACATAGTCATAACGTTTACGAAACTGTTTTAAGAAAAAGATTCTGCTATTGTCTGCATCGTGAACTCATTAGATTTGTGATCAGAAAGTTAAACTTGTTTGGCTAATTCAAATCTTTAAACATCGCACCAAATATTTTCTGTGTTGCCAGGTTTTTCTTTCCAAATTAATAACTAAATATTTTGTATTTAATACATTTTACCTACATAAAACGAGACTATATAAATAAATAGAAGAGAATGTATAATGCATCTGTAGTAAAGGGAATAGTGGTCCGTATCCGCGAAATCATTATTCGACTGACGACATCTTGTTCTGTAACTAGATGATCATAAAATGGCGGAGGAGGTCAATCCGTGACAGGCAGAACATAATTTTCCTTCACGGGATAATTTAAGTTGATCAGAAGTTCCGTGTCTATCAAATTATGGTTAGAGTATGGAGTCGAGCTATTTCACATAATTTTTGTTGCTTTTATATTCGAAATTGACAATAAGCTTAGATTTAAAATTAAACATGAAGAAAGAAATATGCAAAAAAATATTAAAGGCAAGATTCGTAGGTAAGAAATTAACGTCTTGTATGGTCAAAAACGACCATGGATTTTTTTTAACAATTGACTTTCTTTAAAAGGCATATAAGCTACAAGAGTCGAGTCAAGGTTGAACATGTATAAAATTTAGGGACCACAAATTAGATCTTATGATTATAGCTATACGAGTGAAATTTAATGACAACTACACTGATAGTACAAGTCAAGCTAGGTTGGGTTTATGACTACGAATGCTGATGAAAATGGTTTTTTATTCTTCCATCGTCATGAGACATATGAATAAGTAAAATATGTTTATTAGCGAAACGGCTATTGTGTTAAGATCGCCAAAAAATAAAGTCAGTTTTACACTTTCACTGTACAAAAGTGATACATAAGCTTGTCTTCACAATTGCTTATGCTCGTGTTTTGCCGTAGTTCTAAATAGCTTTTTTTAAGACTATGGTAATTTTTACTCAGAACTGCAAAATAATTTTTTTTATGCTGCTTTCATATTATAATAAACTACAGTGAAATATCTCTTTCATTACTTGGCATAAAATACATAAGCTGTTGATGAAAAATACACCCAATGGATATGAAAACAAAATAAATAGTCGTATTATTTTGTAAACACCTAAAATAAAAATACAAATGATAAATAAAGGACATCCGTCGTTGTTTCTTAGTGTTATATTATTCATTCATTCACTTCATATGCATTTCTTCCCTCCATATACACAATATTTTGCAAACGTTATGCTATGACTGGTTTCAGATTTCATTTTAGTTAGTGTTTATGCTTCACCGACGACATACTCGTAATTTATGTGGATAAAACGATCTACTGGTTCTACCCAGGTGGCAGCAATTACATTATAATTAAAATTATACTGTTTTTCCCCGGACTATTTAAGCGAGGGTTTACAACACGCGAAAATACATACATTACTTTATTAAACTTCCTTGAGTTTTTCCTTATGCCTTGATGTATCAAATAGATCGAGAATTTTAATAAGTAAAGAGTATATTTTTATTTAAAAACCCAAAACAGAGTAAGTGAAAACGTCAACCATGTTTTCTAAATTAAAAAGCGGTTTGTCAACTTGGATGGAAAGTTGTCTATTTTGTAAATATTGCATCTATCTGTACTATTTAATAATATGGTATTCATTTGCTTTTATTGATCAGAATAAAGAAGCGTGACCGCAACAGATCGACTAGAACATCAACAAAAAAAAAGATACAATAAATATTAATTGACCGTTTCGGCACTACTTCAAGCTCAACTGCAAATCGAAGCGAAGGTAAACCAGTTGGCAATGAAACAGCAAGACCAGTCATTAAAGTGTAACGATTAGGTATTAACCAAAGTAGTGTCAAACTAGGGCAAACGTTATAAGTACCGACATTAAATAATGTATTTGATCTATTTTTACATACCTTTCAACTAGAGGCTGGACGTTATCTAGAAACTCGAAACCAGCGTGTGTTGTGTAGGTTATAGATTCATGGCACATGATGAAACCGTGATCCGCACGAACGAAATTCTTCAAAACCCAATAATCTCCGCGTTGCAATGTCTGCGGCAGCATATCTCTATCATTACAATTCAATAATGTTCGAAGATATGAGAGTGTTGCTGGAGCTAGGGCGTCCTCATCGTCTATTTCCAAAGCCGTACCATTTGATGAGTCGGGTTCGGGCAGAACACTGTTTATTTTCTTTTCTAATTCTGGCACCGACGCGGTACTGGAAGTTGTTTTGTTCGTAGTGGGCATGGTAGAGGGAGTCTTCTGTGATGTCGACTCCTCAAAGTTTCTTACACTGGAATCCGGCGGTCTCGTGTCCGTTTCATTTCGGCTCTCCTCTCTATTAATATACCGGAATTCTGCACTTCTCTCAGATCCCTCTACCGTCATTGGCATCCATTCAACACCTGGGGTACTGCTACTAGATAAATGCATCGCAGCGTACAATAGTACGGCGATGTTAATCACGATACTCACTCTAAAGACAAAATTGCGTCGATTATTCAGCATCATTATAGCGATATAGGCACTTTTTCCACGTTAAATTATTTATATGTTAGAACGTCCTTCGTCGTCCTCTAGGACGCAGTTTTCTATAGGGACCTGTGTGTGTCAGCATCACAATTTATTGTGTCATCAGCAGGCGTGTGGAGGTGGACGCTGCGACAGCGCCGCTTACACTTTTTACACCTAGAACAAAAATACATAAAATGTAATGCAGGAATAAAAAATTTGCTTTTTTTTTGGGTAATAGATATTTATCATAATTTATTAAGTAATATCATTAACATTTTACTAGCAAACAAGTATATTAAAGTTAGTTTAGTAAGCGAAATTCCTGTTTAATAAATACCTAAAGTACTTATACTTTATCGATATTAATATTAAATATAAGTAAAACTAGAGTCTCTTGCAAGGTAATCGGATCCTCAACAGACGGTCAAGATTCGACCTTAGTAAATAATTACAAAGATGATTTCCAGACATTATGACATCTAACGTGACCGCAAGCCACAGAAAGAAGTAATTCTCTGGCTGCCTTAAAACATCTTTTTAATGAGATTATTTGGTTCTTTGTATAAAATGGTATCTTTACCTTGATTACATTCTATGTACGTAAGAATAATTGTCTTTAATATTAGTTGACTAGTAATACAATAGGTTTAATAAACTGACATTTTTATAATATTACGACATTTTAAAGTGCCTTTTCAAATATTATTTAATTACAATGGTCCTTATTTATTAACAACACAATGTTGTATTATTTTCGTTACTAAGATTTACATCTTCTTTACATTATGCAAATCTTTTTCGCTCTCAAAAATTTTGCTGTTATTATATAAGGAGTCTTAAAATATATATAAGGCGTCTATAAATATTAAGGAAATTAATGTAACGTGAATTCCTCCACCTTAATAAATAAGGCGACGTAGTGGCCTTGAAGAGTCATATGCATCCTAGCGTGAAAGAAACGATGGGCTGTTTGTCTCGGTTAATTCTAATACTATACGTCTATAAAGATTCTTATAATATATATTATAAAATCCTAATCACAGTTCGTCAAACCTCAAAACAAGGAAATCGGTTTTTAAAATAGCTCAAAAGTTTCAAAACATTAAAGTAGATCATCAGTTTTGACGAATTTATGTTAAATAAACAGAGATGGTTCCATTGTTTATTAAAGAATTTAAAGTCAGTAAACATTTGTTATATTTTGAGTTACGAATGTTCCATTGAGCAAACATTAATTAACGTGACACTCGACAGACATACCGTCTCGTTGAATATAGGTTAGATGTAAAGATAGATCTTGCAATTTATGTAACTTTTGTATATGAAATTATGTAATAAGTCTAAGAACTGAGCATTTTCTGAATTAGTTTATATTAGCACATGTTGTCCACTATCAGATTTTAAAAAACTTTAGCAATACGAGAACATACATACGTAATAGAATTTTTATAAGAATCAAAAATGCTGTTCTAAGTTAACCGAACATTGAAGTTCATTGCCATAATTTACCGCCACAATCGGTAGTTTAGAAGCCATCAAATTAAGAGGCGTGGGTCCATACTTTGTCGTACAATAGATCGTAAGCGGCAAGAATTCGCTTATGGATTAAACTATTCAGTTTTCCAGTAAAAGCTATCAAGTATGGTGGTCTAAGGGTTTTACTAATGTAAATAGTTGTGGTGAGTTGACGGTTATTTAGTTTCACTTAAAATAGTTTTATATTTAGTAAACATTAAAAAACGAAGCAGTGAACAAAGATTCGACCACAAATATTCTGTAAGAGAATTCATCACAACGCGTAATATAAAGCTCATTTTAGGTTTTTCTAAAGTAAAAAAGATAAAATAATATTCATATGTAATTAGTCGAATACAAAAAGTTATATTTTCATCTAAATGTTAACTACTGATTTTCGTAAAGTAAAAAGTTAATTTGGGAAACTAATATTCTTGACTTAAGGTTATTTTAATAGTAATGTAACTAAAACTTATTAGGTAAGTAAGGAAGTTTGAACTAGAATTAGATTTCAAGGAATCGATATGAAGCTGATTCTTTAGCATGTCTGTAATGAATCTCCATATTATGTAAACTGCCTTAAATATCTGTAATTCCATAGTTAAATTACAAACAATATTAATCTCAAGTTTTATATTAAGCGTCGATCTTTTATTGGATGAACAGATGTCAACTCCATCCGAATGAACCACGAAGAATATAAAAAAGAGTTTGACGTGTATTAAAAATATTAGTTTTGTACTTCTGTCACTAATATTCAAATGATTATAATTTACTCAAGTTCTACTAGATATACGTGAATATTGTGTGGTAACACTGCTTAATGTTTTTCTTAAATCCTGATTCCGATTATTCGTGGCTAAAAATACAAATGAATCAGTAAAGACATAAAAATTAAATATATTATTGGTTTTTCTCAGCGAAGTTCGACCTAAAAATATAGTTACTCCATTCGTGTCTCGTGTTTGGAATTTGGTATTTGACTTTGCTATGGACTTTCTCTAACAAATACTAAACGTAAAAAATTATGACAATTGGTATAAAGACGATAGTGTTGTGTAACGTTTGACTTTACGAAAAACATGTGTCAGGCATGTGTTACTTGTGTATGCTCATCTCATTATGACAGAAAAGCCACTCGACTGTTTAGCAGTTGGTGCGCACGCGCAGACAATATTCAAGGCACAGAGGCGACCTTCGGGAGGGAAAGTGTTTTACTTAAATCACATTACCGTCATTATGCTACCGTTACTGTTCTCAAGATGCATTTTAAGCAACTACACCATTGCTAAACCCATTGTCCATTGTGCTTAGCTTTCTTAAGTCATCGTAATTTAACAATGTGGTGGATTTTTTCATCACCTTCGGCTGGTATTGAGATTCCATTCAAATTTATGTGACACAATTTATGTTAAAGGTCACGGATGTTTTGACGTATTTATGAGATTTTGATATATCTTCCTATAATTATTAATATCAAGGACATTATCCAAATATAACAAGATTTTTGCATTAATTAACACTCGGTATTTAATCGCTTTATTATACAAGGATAATATGTATTTCAAACCATTTTTGTCGATAACATTATTTTAATCATATATTTACTCATACATATTTATTTAATGATATAGAAGTTTTTTTCATGTTAATATTTACAAATCCTCAATAAATTATGATCGTGTCGAAATACTTTTAGAAAACAAGGAATTATTAATGCTGCCTTGATATTTTTTACTTTGTTTTTGCATTGAGTACCACGTATTCACTTTTAATAAATTTATCATGTGACTCTTGCTTTTTATTACGTAAAAAAACTCAAAGTGTTTTGTTTATTTCATTATGTAGTAAAAGGCGATTATTTTTGTAACTTTTCCTATCGTTATTCTATAAGTAGTTACATATTACATACTATCCATTTTAGAACAAGTAAAAATCCCTACATTTGGATTATATCCAAATTGCGAAGAATAAAATTCAACTTCCAAGAAATGGATATAGATTTTGCTGAGGAATATTACGCATTGCTGCAGTCTGAGTAGTTTTGGGTTTTATACAATAAAGATATACGAAAATATACATTTAGAACCTTGACTTGAAATAAGATATGAACACCGACGATACCACAACTTGCATATGATTCACCGTTTCTTAGAAATATAAATGATAATGATTGATTACATGTGATTTGTGAACCTTAAACCTTTTGGAAGACCACACTTAATAAAGGATATTAACTTTAAGCACATTATATTAATATACGAAATTGACACAGCTTCCAATAAATTATTTGCATTAAATTCAATTAAATTCTATATAAAAAGTTGATTATAGAGGAGTCATTATTTCGTCTTGGTATAGATGGCCTAGATATATTCAACTTTTTGTATCAACAATTCAACACCCACACTTATAAACATCGTTCTATTTTCTATACCGAATATATTATTATATTTACTTCTGATATTATTAAAACAATCCGAAAGTTTACACATTTATTATTGTGAAACGAATATAACTTGTTATTGAAAGTGACGGGTTTAGGTAAATGAAAAATTTTATAACTTTGCCGCATAGCAATAAACTTTTTGTTCATATTTAACTCTATTATTTCAGACTTGTTTTCGAACAAATTATAATTATAAATCAAGTTTTAATTACGATACACATTATAATTTATTATAGAATTTAGTAATTAAAACAATATTGTTATCATGCGGTAGTATCTGACGGCCGAATGCTTGATTTGGTCACAGTTCGGCGACTAGATGGCCACTCCATTAACAGGAAGCATCGCACTCGACGCGCATAAGCAATCATGGAAGCTATTTCCATTGCCTACAGGCTGTTAAAAGGCCCTCTCCCATACTCTTAAAAGCTTTGGAACATAAATTTTACAAAGATAGACAGTTTTATTATTTGCTATCCTGCCGATGGTCCTAAGATAAGAAGCTACTGAAGGAAGGAGTAAATTAAAAACTTATGAATTTATTTACGCTGTTGTAGATAATAAAGAAGAAAAAAACCATTAAAACTTTAATAAAATACATAATGAGAGATGTTTTCGTTTTCCGGAAATAGTGACGGATGATATAATGTGAACGGACGCTCACAATCTGCGTGGTAGTGTGACGAGTCACGACTGCAGACGACCTAGAGCATTTCGACGAAGGTAAGAGGTAACTGGCCACTTCTAGCGTTTTATGTCATAATCAACAAGTGTAAAATCGACATTTACCGGACTATAATCCGTGTTTCGAATGTGAAGCCTTTCATTTGAAAACCAAGAGCCATTGAATCTAAATTTCATAATGTTAGAAATATGAATGTTCGTGTTGAATGTAATTACGAACATAACTACAAAGATCACATCATAATGAATTATAAAAAAGAACATTCGTAATATCATCAAACAATATTTCCTAACCAATAGAGCCATCCAGCGCAGTAAATGGACTCGTTTCATAAATAACGTAATAATT